AGATTGAGTGGGGCTGTACGAATGCAGTTGCACCTCTTCTAGAGTAGCTGAGCTTGGTATGTGACTTCTGCTCACGTACGCATGGGACTGATGAGTCTTGTGGGATTTGAGTAGGCTCTGCATAGGTATTTGAATCACCTAGAATGAGGCTGGCTTCTGCTGGGTTCACTTTTTGGCTAATGCTGCTCCCCAGGGGGATGAAGCTCTCTGTATGAATTGCAGTGCTCTAGAAAGGCACCATGAGTTTGAATGGGGTAGTCTCTTCTAACTAGTTGTAGATAATAGAGCCTTGTTAATGAAGTATCACAGTAGTTAGTTAAACCACAGTAGCTGAAGTTAGTGATCTAAATTTGTTTTCATTTGTCTTTTTAGGTAAAATGCATGTTGATGTGCTGTATTTATGTGATCATGTACCTTAATGCTTTTTACTGTGTTAGCAATTATTGAATGATGGCCATCTTTGTGTTGGTTTAGATGATTGTTTTAGTGGGTATGTGATTTATAGCCAAGAAAAGACCAAGATTATTGTGTCTACAAGGGATCTGTAACTTCAGACCCGTAAGGTTTCAGATATAGTTGCACAAAAAAAGGAAGGTTTAACTTTTTTTTTTAACCTGAGATTTCTATCAAGTTGCACTTAGATAGAATTTTGAATTTAAGTAGATGAAATAGCATTGTTTTGTTGATGAGAACAACTCTTAGTGTTACTAATGTGTTTTTTCTGTAGTCAGTTTAATTTACAACAAATGAAAGAGTAGACAAGAATAGTATCCATTCTAATACATTGACTGTTCTTCTTTCCAATAATCAGATCTTTCAAAGCTGTTGAAAACACCAGGAGATACTGATAGGAAGCTATATGCATTTCTTCCTTCTCCCTCCAAAGGCTGGATAAGCTTTGATGGTGCCATCGTACTCTTAAATCTGTGTTAGGTCTCTCTCAGAAGGCACAGATAAGAGTCCAGGGAATGGAATTGTTTGTGTAATATGTGGTTGAACGGATAACCAGGTATGACTTCTTGAAGAGCTTGTAAGCTTATCAGAAACAAAATTACATTGTTGAGAGTAAAATTTGGCATGGCCAAACTGAACTCATTCTTCTAGGCAGTTTCTCAGCATGCCTGTCCTGATGCTGCTGTCTTTGCCATTGCAGTTGTTTTTCTTCACATTCTGAGAATTACTAGATCATGTGTTCTCACTTAATTTTCATGAATGAAGCAGTTATTGTTTTCTCAATTAATATAGAAATAACAACTTGTAGTGAGTTTACTAAAATGAAGATAAAGAATTCTTTGTTGGTGCTTGTCCTATCTGATAATTTCTGAAATCCAAGTTGGTAAACAAATCTTTAAAAATTGTTCCCACCTAAATGTCTCAAGACCTGCAAGTCTTCCTAAAAAATCTCTTCCACAATTACTAATAACAGTTTACTACATCAAAAAGTATGAAATCTAAGAATGGTAGAGTTTCCAATGCTGTTAATATGAAAGGACAGCGTTTCATAAGCCTTTCATCATTTCCTTGTCTCTATAAGCAAGAGACTAGTGAAGGACATCTTCCTAAGAACACATCAGATCTCGCTTCTGCATTTATAATCTGGTGTCATCACAACCAGTTTCTCTGTGGAAGTCGTAAAAGGATTTATCTCTAACTGCCTCTTTTAATGAAATCTCTAGAAATGCCTGATGCCTAGTTTACTGTGGGATTTTCCTGGATATATTTGCATGCATGTGGAAGGCACATCTGTGCATCTGCCTCGCTGTAGCTTCATACTTGCTTTGTATTTCATTTGATTGCATATGCTTAGCTTCCTTAGGAACACTGACTAAAATGGTACTGATTTTATGTAAGGACCGTGAGTACTGTCCATCACTGGAAGAGGTTGTCCAGAGAGGCTGTCAAAAGTCTATGAAGGTTTTCAAAACTTGACTGGCCAAGACTTGGAGTACCCTGGTTACAATTGGTTGTTGAGCCTGCTTGGAGTGGGAGGCTGGACTGGATGTCCTCTTGAGTTCCCTTCCAAGGTGAATGTGCATAGTTTTAAGTAGTAGACTATAAAAAAGGCAAATAGGAGCTTTCCATTTTTTGGTCACTTCTCACTTTGAGGAGGTGAACTGTTAGTATTTTAGCTTTTTTTAATGCAGAGAAATTACAGTTGAACATAGTTACTTGGCAAGCTAGTAATATTTGTCTTTGACTAGAAAGATACTGTCCAGACTGTTACTTTGTTGTTTAGACTGGTATTAAAATACTACAGTACTACTGCAGGAGATGAGCTGCATTTTTTATCTTTGCTGAAAAGCTGCAGGTAGTTGGCAAGGAATATCTGCTCTGGTGTACCTCCTACCCCTCTTTCACTGAAGTTGGTATTTGCGTGTTTCGCTCACATCCCACTCCTTTCTTTGCTGCATGTCTTCTAGCAGTTTCTTTTCTCCTTCTTCAATATGTTGCCAGGGATGCGTTGACTGTCCCTAATGGGCTCAGCCTCTGCCAGAGGTGAGTCAAACATGGAGCTGGAGTTGCTTCTAGCAGCTTTTCACAGGAGCTAACCCTGTAGCCACTCCCTCAGTACCAAAGCCTCTTCACACAAACCCACCATACATGGGTAATAACCTGTATAGTAATCAAGTAGTTATAATGAGGGCTTGAGGAAATAAGCTTAGGAGGTTGAAATTTGTGACCTTTATGATGGGGTGTTTCTTGTCTAGTGGATGTAGAGAATGTTCGATTAGTAACTTAGAGCCTTTCTCTGAAGCAGCTTGTTTGAAGACCAGCTAAATAACATTGCATGTGATACAGGGTCATACGTATTTTTGGATTGAAGACTTAGCTGCTTAAAAACTGGAAAACAAATAATTGGTAGTCAGAAAGATTACTAGATAGAAAAATCTCTTGATACCTGGACAGGAAATGCTATACCACCTTTCTAGTCTAGTATCTATTTTTTGTGAGGTAGATATGACTCAAGAAATGTCCACTTCACCTTCCTCAGTAGCACTGGTTTATCAATTAATGGTCTGAGATGGAGAAACTGCTTCTAGTTGGACCGAATCTCCTTGTGGCTAATATGAGCATGGTTATGTCCTGTCAGCTCTGTTGTTAACCTGCAGTGGACCTTGGAGTTGGTGCACAAAAGCCGCTTCTCGTCAAGGGACTGATCTTAAAAGCTTTAACCATAGAATATACAGATTGCCAGTTGACTTCACTGTAAAAAGAGGAATTTACATTTTAATTTTACTGCTTGGACTTTGACAGGATGCCAGACTAATTACTCTCATTTATTTCATTCTGTATAGGTTCCTGTTCCACACCCAGTCCAATGGTATCAGAATGTCGTCCACACTTCTTACTGATAAAAAATATTAGAAAACAAGACTAGCACTTGTCAAATGGGGCTCTCTCTCCATTCCTCTCCATACACCTTTCCTTTGAGGGGAAAAGAAGAGGAGAATAGCATGTGAGTTGTTTGAATTTTAATTAAAATAGTCAATAGTATGTTTTGTACATGAATAAATGTTTGGCTATTTTTTTCTTTAAGGTATGAGAAACAGACTAGAAAAAGGTTGGGTTTGTTTTCAGGGAGTGGGGCTTGCTTGTGGAGAGGCCTAATTAGTAGCTTCTATCTAATGTGGGAGGGGCTTTTGTGGCTGTTTTCAAGAAAGTCTTGCCTTCAAAGGCAAAGTTTTCATGTTGACAGTGATTTTGCCTTTTTTTTTTTATTATAACTTTTCAAGACATTCATTACCATCAAGGCCGCAGTACTGTTTGGAGATTTTCTTCTTTGTTTTTCTTCTTACTAGAACTTGAACTGGGTGGATGAATTATTTAGCAAGAAGGACTGAGATCTTTTAAACTCTGTTGAGCTGTGAAGCTCCCACTGACCTTTGTCATTGCAAGTTCTGTTGCATTCTGTACCCATTTAAGTTTCTGAAATCTCAGTTTGAATTTTCTACGTTTTGCTGTAATCTTGGGGAGAAGTGACAAAGGCACATACTTATGAAGTTGAGTCCATGAGGGTACTTCATGATGTACTAGGAGTAGAAGATAAGCAACTGATGAATCTGTAGGCCAGCTGCATGTGGAGCAATAAAAGCCTAACTGTTGAGGAAGTGCTAGACCCTTCCTGGTGATACGTTCCCAGCAGATGGGCAGCCACTCTGCACAACGACCCTTCAAACAGATGACCTGCAGCAGATAATTTGTCTTTCTACAATCTTCCTTTAGATATTGTCCTCTGTTTGGTGGACTCCAGTTTGCTGGAGGGAATAGGGTAGGATATAAATCCAAATTCTGGAGTAGGGGAAAGTGATAGAACTCTATACATCTCTGCAAAGGAGGAGACCTATGAAAGCATATGGGTATTAAAAAAAAAAGTCCCACTTCAGCATATATAGTTATCGGTCCCATACATTAACTACATTTTATTTCAGCTGCATTAATATTGTGGTAGCTTGTTTGATTCCAAGGTCCATATCAGCTTGCAGCAGCAGAAACTTCTGCAAGAAATTTAGATTTGACTAGCAATCATATTTTAACCATGTACAGACATGAGACCAAACCAAGTTGTCAGAGAGGCCTCTTATCTTAACACTAACATTCAAGATGAAGAGTGTTGAATTCCTCCTTCCTAAATGAGATTATAGTAATTTTCTGAGTAGGGCTTAGTAAAATTCTGATGTTCATCAAAGAAACCACAAAACACAGTATAGCTGTCATGTATTCACAGAGATCTGAAAGAAAAACTTGGAATGTTGTTTGTATAGGAGAGAAGAAATGTAAAGGATTTCTTCCCCTGATCAGATCCTCTTTTCATAAAGAGGGAGCAAGTGATCTACTGGGAGATAGTAATGAAACCAGTTCTTTGGCTTAATGATTTTGGAGTTTCATATTTAAGAATACATTTTTCAGATTTCAGTCCTTGCTTTAATACTATTAATGCAAGTGTCTGTGTTCAAGTGTGTCATCACTTTTTTGTATTTCTTTTTCAGGAAAAGTGCAAAATGTTTCAAATTCCTGTTCAAAATCTTGATAATATCAGAAAGGCTCGAAAAAAGGTGAAGGGCATTCTTGTGGATCTTGGGCTTGACAGCTGCAGGGAATTGTTGAAGGTAAAACATTTGAAATAATGTAAACCAATCTGAAACGTAATCCCTTGAGAAGTACTACACTTTTTAGTGTATAGACCATACTCCACTGCCATAGATCTTTTTGGTGGGGTCTTTACTTGAAGAATTGATCTTGACTGACTACTTATATACCAGTGGTGGAATTTAGTGTTTTAGTACACAACAGTGAAGGAAACTCCTTCTCAAGATGTATCATAGATTCATACTCGTCTGCAAGCAATATTTTGACATAAGGAAGACAGTACAGCTGTAGGATAAACACCACAGACTAAGGAAATGTACTACACCACAACTTCGTTGCAGTTATTTTAAAATTGCAAACAGATGAAGCAGGTAAGACTACTCAAAGGCATCTCATCACGTATCAAGGGCAGACTTTGAAGGATATACGAAGTGTCAGTATTTCTGAAAATGCTCAAGCAATTTGATCCAGTAATCTTTTTGCAGGCCTTCCCTTCAGGGAAAAATACCAAGGTAGTCTTACTGAGGTGTAGCTCAGTTTTGCACCTTAAAAAGTACATGCAAGTGTCCTAGGGTGATCAGGATAAACCTAGGACCATTGTTGGTGCTTTCAGGAGACCATGTTGTGCAACAGGCAGGGGGAGCTCCCACCATCAGATTGTCAAACCTAATAAAACTGGCAAAGCCTCTCTAGAAGGAAACAGGAAACCTGGTCATGCAGGTTATGAAGAAGGCTGAGGTACTCAAGAAAATTTTTGCCTCTGTCTTCACTGGCAAGGGCTCTGGTCACGCAGCTCAAGTCACAGAAGGCAAAGACAGGGACTGGAAGAAGGAAGATCTACCCACCCTAAGAGAAAAGCAGGTTCAAGACCACCTAAAGAACATGGAGGTGCACAGATCCATAGGCAGATGAAGCTGCAGAGGTGCTTTCCATCATACCTGAGAAGTTGTGAAGTTCCTTCCTGCTGACTGGAAAAGGGGAGGAAACAACCACCATTTTCAAAAAGGGCAAAAAGGAGGACCCACAGAACAGGCCAGTCAATCTCACCTCTGTGTCTGGCAAGGTCATAGAGCAGATCCTCCTGAAGGGCAAATTGGGCCTGGCAAATTTGGTGGCTGTTTACAGTGTGGTCACAGCATTGGTGGACAAAGAGAGAACAACTCCCCTTGTATCAAAAACTGTCCAGGGGAGAAGAACTTTGGGGTGATGGTGGACAAGAAGCTCAACATGAGCTGTCAATGTGTGCTTGCAGCCCAGAAAGCCAACCATGTCCTGGGCTGCATCAAAAGAAGCATGGCCAGCAGGTCAAGGGAGGTGATTTTTCCCCTTTACTTGGCTCTTGTGAGACCGCACCTGAAGTACTGTGTTCATGTCTGGAGCCCCCAGCATTAGTAGAAGAAGAGAAGGCTGTGGGGAGACTTTATAGTGTCCTTCCAGTACCTGAAGGGGCCTACAGGAAAGCTGGGGAGGGACTGTTTTACAACGGCTTGTAGTGAGAGGACAAGGAGTAATGAGTCAAAACTGGAAGATGGGAGATTTAGGTTAGACTTCAGGAGGAAATTCTTTAGTGTGAGGGTAGTGAGACACTGAAACATATTGCCCTAGGAAGTTGTGGAAGCCCCATCCCTGGAAGTGTTCAAGGCCAGGTTGGATGGGGCTTTGGGCATCTAGCGGGAGGTGTCCTGCCCAAGCAGGGGGGTTGAAACTAGATGATCTTTAAGGTTCCTTCCAACTCAAACTATTCTTTTATTCTGTGAACTGACATCATCTCCGTGGTCTTGTGCAAAGTGTTCAACACTGTCCAGCACGACATTCTGGTCTCTAAACAGGAAAGATGGATTTGATGGATGGACCACACAGTGAATCAATAATTGACTGGGTGGTTGTACTCAAAGAGCTGTGGTTAACGGCTCTATGTCCCCATGGAGAACAGTGACAAGTGGCGTTCCTTGAGGGTTGGTACTGGGACAGGAGCAGTTTAACATCTTTGGTGACATGGTCAGTGGCATTGAGTGTACCCTCAGCAAGTTTGCTGATCATACAATCAGAATATGCTGAGTTGGAAGGGATCCATCAGGATCATCGAGTCCAACTCCTGTCCCTGTGTAGGGCACCCCAAGAATCACACCATGCGCCTGAGAGCATCATCCAAATGCATCTGGAACTCGGGCAGGCTTGGTGCTGTGACCACTTCCCTGGGGAACTTGTTCCAGTGTTTGACCACCCTCTAGGTAAAAAACCTTTTCCTGATATCCAACCTAAACCTCCCCTGATGCAGCTTCCTGCCATTTCCGCAAGTCCTGTCACTGGTCACAGGAATGAAGAGATCAATGCCTGCCCCATCTCCTCCCCTTGTGAGGAAGCCGTAGAATGCAACAAGGTCACCCCTCAGCCTCCTTCTCCAAGCTGAATAATCCAAATGACCTTAGCTGCTTCTCATATGTCATCCCTTCCAGACCCTTCATCATCCTTGTGGCTCTCCTTTGGACACTCTCCAATAGATTTATATATTTTTTTTATATTGTGTACCCAAAACTGCACGCGTTACTCAAGATGAGGCCACACCAGAGCAGAGTAGAGCATGACAATCGCCTCCCTTGACTGGCTGGCAACACTCTGCTTGATGCACCCCAGGACACGGTTGGCCCTCCTGGCTGCCAGGGCACTCTGCTGACTCATGTTCAGTTTGCCATCAACCAGGACCTCCAGGTCTCTCTCTGCCACACTGCTCTCCAGCCACTTGTTCCATAGTCCGAACTTCTCACCAGGGTTGCCCCATCCCAGGTGCAGAATCCAGCACTTGCCCTTCCTAAACTTCATGTGGTTGGTGATTGACCATCTCTAACTTGTCAAGGTCACTTTGCAGGGCCTGCCTGCTCTCAAGGGAGTCAACACTTGGTCATGATACCAAGCTGTGTTGTGTGGTTGCCATGCTGGAAGGAAGAGAGGCCATCCAGAGGGACCTGGACAGCCTTGAGTGGTGGGCCCATGCCAACTGCATGAAGTTCAGTAAGGCCAAGTACAAGGTCCTGCACCTGGGTCAGGGCAATCCCAAGCACAATTACAGGCTGGGTGGAGAATGGATTTAGAACAGCCCTGAGTAGAAAGACTGGGATCTTGGTTGATGAGAAGCTCAACATGAGCTGGCAATGTGCACTTGCAGCCCAGAAAGCCAGCTGTGTCCTTGGCTGCATCAAAAGAAGTATGGTCAGCAGGTCAAGGGAGGTGATTCTCCCCCTCTCCTCTGCTCTTGTGAGACCCCACCTGGAGTAATGTGTACAGCTCTGGAGCTCCCAGCGTAAGAAGGAGATGGATTTGTTGGAGCAAGTCCAGAGGAGGGCCACGGAGATGATCCAAGTGCTGGAGCACTTCTGCTTCGAAGACAGGCTGATAGAGTTGGGGCTGTTCAGCCTGGAGAAGGCTCCAGGGACACCTCATAGTGGCCTTTCAGTACCTGAAGGGGCTACAGGAAAGCTGGGGAGGGACTTTTTTGCAAGGGTGTGTAGTGGTAGGATTGAGGGGTAATGAATTGAAACTGGAGGAGTCAACCATTCTATGATTCTATTAATACTAGAAAAAGTACAAACACAATAGTGCAACTCAGTGGCTAAAGGGTGGTATGTTTCAGCCAGCTAGTACATGGGCTGTTTTGGCTGTTCAGTATGTTTGTGACTTCACATTGACTGTAATCAAGAGTTTGTATTAGTTCTGTATGATGGTACTAAGGTAAGTCCTAGTATGTATTTTTTTTTTTTTCCTGAGTGAACGATTGGGGAAGAAATGCTTAGATGTACATGCATAACTAATTCTGAAACAGTCTTGGTTGTTACAGTTGAAGAACAATATATCTAAATGTCATAAAAGCTCAGAAGAAGTGTATTTGTCTAGTAATTTCCATTGTCTTTTTATTCTGTTGTGTATAGTTCTGTAATGAAACCTCTTAAGTCAGAAGCTGTTCTGTCTTGACCTTTTTAAGTAGAAATGTTTTGAGAATGCTAGGGTTTTTTTGCTGTGTAATTGATTACAGTCTTCCGGTTGCATTGTGGGTTTTAATGTTGAATGAGGCGTTTGGTTGGTTTTTTGGGGGTGCTGTGTTTTGTGTTTTGTTTCATTTTTAATAAATGGTGATGGTGAGGAACCTAGTGAACATTTCCATTCTGGAACAAGCTCTGTGAGATGTGGGCCAAAAAGATAATTTTAGTTTTTCAAAAATTTTTATTCAACGAGCTTCATTACTTCAGTTTGTTTTTTCCAGGTAATCTGGTTTTGGTATAACATCAGCGTCAAGAGTAATGGTTTTTAGAACTTTATTTGTACTTGGCTCACATAATTATGGTATTTTGTTTTTGGTAGAATAGAGTGTGTGATGAATATAGGTGTGTGATTATCTAGACTTACTATCATGCACGATTGGCTTGTGGTGTTTGTGTAGGTGCCTCTCCTGGTGGAGAGTTCTCAAACCAAAAGTTTGGGGTAAGTTGTAAATTTCAAGGAAACTTTTTTAACAATGTAATTCAGTCCAGTGTGTTTGGCTGAAGAGCTGTTTGTACGTACCAAATCCCTGTTTTCTCTGTCAAACATCTGTAAGAAGAGCATGGTGTTCTCTAGGGCTTTCTCTTATTCCATGCAGGGGTTCTTTCTAAGTTGTGGGTTTTTTTGTTGTTTGTTGGTTTTGTTTATTTGTTTTGTTTTTTTAAGAAGGTGTGGCTGAATGGCAAATAGATTAATTACTCAGTGCCTAGATGTTGATGAGAATGGAAGAGATTTGTTTACTGCTACCCTGAGCTCCTCAGGATTCTCCTTACAGAAACTTGAATGCTGAAAAAGCTAGAAAGCATGTTGCTGACTTAGCTACATCTTTCAAAATCCTTGAATGATTGAAATTAAAATAAAATTGTGACTGGCATGACCTTCTGGGTCACTGTAATCTGTTATATACACAGGGATGCTCACATTGCACAGTGTGAACAGGAGCCTTCAGTTAAGTAGGATTGTGTATTTGTTTGGCTGCTAGAGGGCTTTTTTCACTATATCCTGTGTTGCTTGTAAATTTCACAAATATTTTGACCAGAAACTGATATTTATGAATTTCTTTTAAATGGTTTTGGTTGTGTTGTTTTTTTTGCTGTTCCAGTGAGGTTTATTGCAGAGGTGAAAACATCTTGCCTGCTCTAAGCATCTTTCAGAATTTTGAGTGAAGAGGGGTTTGTGAAAGGGTAGGAGAATGTGAGGGGAGTATTCATGCTAGTTTTGAGTTAAGCCTGGATTCATAGCCTGTGTGATTCATGTAAGACACTCTTTTGTGTGCTGTTGAAGCTAGCTGAGGGTCTTCAGAAATGCCTAGCAGTTTTGGGTTAGGCCCAGCCAGCAATAAAGAGCCACGTGCCCACTGCTTCCTCAGAGGGGAGGACTCTGCTCAGTCATCCACTGTGCCACTGTGGAGTCCATCCCACAGGAGAGAGTCCTTCCTGAATCTCTCTAACACAAGTCCCTCCCACAAGGTGCAGTCCCTCAGTATCAGATTGCTCCAGTGTGGGCTGCCTACACTGTCATGGCCTGCTGCAGGCAGGCACCTCCCCTGGCATGGGGTCCTCCATAGCTGCAGGTCCACATGTCCTCCATTGTGGTCCTCCAAATCTGCTCCACTGTGGTCCTCCATGGGTTGCAGGGGGACGGCTGCTGTCTTACCATAGGCTGCAGGGGAAGCTCTGCTCACTCACCTCCTACCCCTCCTTCCTTACTGATCTTGGTATCTCTGCTTCAGCATTGCTCTCACCTCTGCCTCTCCTCTGCCCTGACTCTTAACAACGGTTCTGCTTCTTGAAGATGTTAATCGCAGTGGTGCATCCATTGTCACTGGTGGGCTCGGCCTTGGCCAGAAGTGGGTCTGGATTTTGGAGCTGGTTGAACATCCAGCAGCTTCTGACAGGAGCCACCCCTGCGTGTTGTGTCCCGCTCCCCCCGCCCCCCCACCAAGCCCTACCACGCCACACACTAGCAAAGAGGAATCTATTTTTTTTGTTACGTTTGTGTTTGGATGTGTATGGGCCTCAGAAAATTGGAGAGGAACTTAAGATATTTAGAGCAGTAGCTGGCTGACTTTGACTAGAAGAATGGTATAAGGAAAGCTGTTTATCCTGACACGGTTGTTCCAGGTATAATACTATTGCTTTTACAGTTTGAGGAAAAATACCGCAGGTCTTGGAAATAAACTTCTGGGTGTGTTTTAGGTTTTCCAAGTTTAAAACATAACAATGCTATGAGGTTTTAATACTAACACTTGTTGCAAAGTAACCTATAGTGGTAAGTTAATAAATGTAAGTAAACAGTGAAATATTACAGGCTTAGGAGGAGGAGGGAGGTAGAGGGAGAAAGTATCTTTCACTGTTCACTGTGAACTTGGCCAGAAGCAATGGAATTAAAGTGTAAATATTTTTACTCCTGTATTATTTTCAGTAGCTATGAGGTGTTCATAATTCCCACTGTATTACAAGGCAGTCTCATATGAAAAAAGTATTTGAGGTAAATCAAAGAGGGGTCAAAGGAGTAATTTCTTTGAACTGAGTTTTGAGACTTGTATCCAAATACTGTATAGACTTTCCATTCATCCTCAGTTTGTGTGGTTTTTCCTTGTTTTTTTTTCCCTTGCTCTGTATTGAGACTAATTTTGTATTCAGAACAGACTGCAAAAACAGGTTATTTAATGTTTTCTTTTTTTCTTTTAGAATCTTAAAAGTTTTGACCCGGGAGAAAAACAGTTTTGTAACACTTCATGGAGTGATGTCTCTCCTTGGGAGTCTGTGGGTAAAAGGAAGGTATGTATGTGTTAGAAATTATGGGTGGATGTGCATGTGGAGTTGCTGAATTTTACCACTTTTGGAAGCCCTGGAAAAGTTAAAGTGTACCTTTTTGTGGTAAAAAAAGAATAGCTTTCACATGTTTTCTAAGTAGTTTTATTCAGGGAATAGTATTTCTTGTTCATTGTGCGTAATGCAGCTTCCCTGCTGTACAGCTTGTTAAAAGGACTACACGTTCTGTTTGTTCACCTTAGGGTTACAACCTCGAACATCAGTGTTCAAGATACCACACTAATGTTCTGCCTTCTTAGCATAATCTGGTTTGGAGTCTTAACATGCTTTTGTATACAGCATGCTTGTTGTTTCATTGGAAGGGTGAAAATGTGACTGGATAGATGTGAGTGGATTAAGTGGAAATGACCATTAGTGGCTTGAGATTGCACCAGTTGGATTTATGTATTTGAAATAGCTTTTAGTTCTATGTAGCTGGAATCTTGCATGAAACTAGAACCTAGAAGAAGGGCAGGGTTGAAATGAACAAGCAAAACTGTTTTGAGCAAGTTTAAGATAACTACATAGAGCACAGGAGTATATCCAGAGGCTAAGGTAGTCTTGGTGAAGTTTTAGGGCTCCTGATGGCTTCCATGAGGAAGGCCTGTGAACAGCATATAAACAGTGGTGGGTCTGCTCCAGTGGTTTGGAATAGTGTGGTGGTGGTGGTTTGCCAGGATTTTTTAATCTTCCTTTACCATCTTTAAAACAAACTGAGGCTGCTAAGTGCAATAGTTGCACTTTTTAACAAAGCCCTCAACGTACGGGCTGAGCAAACAAAGGTACTCGGTGGCTGCCAAACTTATTTAGTAGAAAGTGACCCCTCCCATCCTTCAGGACTTGAACTTGTGTTCACGCACTGAAGACTGGAGGTTCCTCATGATCAGCATGACTGGTAGTATCTATATCTGTTCAAAATCCAAGATTAGAGTCTGATCTGTTGAAATTCAGAGTAGAATTTGTAATACGTTGCTGCAGAACAGATCTGTCAAGCTGTGTCTTTTGGGTACTGAGCTTGTTCTTATCAATTTTCTTTAAACACCCATGGTTCCATCATGCTGCTTAGGTTTGGGAGAAAATAAGTTGGACCTTTAGGATGTTGAATTCCAAAGTTGTTGCCATAAGAGGAAAGTAAGTTATATGAGCTACATTGAAAACTCAGTAGGCTGGAGTTTGTCTGTTTTGATGAGTTTATGGTTTCTACCATTAGTACTGTTTTTAGGGAGACAATAACTCTGGAAGAACTTTGGTTTTGGAGGCTGTTGTGTTTTTTCTCCTTGTTTCTAGGTTGTGGGGAATGTGAGACTACACAACAGAAAATGTTACTGCATTCTGTGGTATGTTCTTTGGAGTGGGACTAAAGGTTTTCATAAATGCCTCTTAAGCCTTTTTGTATACCATTTTTACAGTTTAGGGTTGTGGGGGTCAATCTCCAAGATTCTTCTTCTGAAGTAGCTTTTTACTTTATCAAAGTGTCTGTAAAATGGAGATGCCATTAGACTGTGGTAGCTCACATGAGCAGCTTAGATGTGCATGCAAGGAGAAAATGCTGACAAAAAAATGTTCTGAGGTGTCTGTGTGGAAGAGCTGTAGTTCATACAGAAAACGTCAAGTAGCAGCCCTCCACATTCTTCTGTTCTGCTGAAACAGTTTTTTTTGATTTTTTTGTTGCTGGTAGTATTTCTGAGCTAAGCAGTGGTACTTCAGCGTTCATCCTGATTTGACAGAAATTGAGGTATGCAACTTTTTTTTTCTTTTGCTGACATCTCATACTTTTTATTTCCATGAAAAATAGTGATCTAAGAAGGTATGGAACATTATTTCCCCATGACTTGCCAGTATGCAGGTACTGGGGTGGTTTCCTAGTGGCATACTGCAATGCTTGTTTGTGTAAGAAGTAAAAACATCGCTGCTATGCAATAGTAAATTAATTCAGCACTTAGACCACTTGTGAAGTAGAGCGTTCTCACTGCACGTAACACCAGTTGTTCAGACTTCACATCAAGGAAATACTGACAGTGTATTACACTAGGGTGTAAGTTTATGGGAACAGAAAGACCCAAAGCAGAAATAGGGTGGGGGAAGAGCAAAGAGTGTATGGGCCCAGTATTTAAAAGCATACAAGCTTTTTTTAAACCTTGGACAACCAATTAAAATAAGCAGTCACCTCTATCACCTGATTTCTTCAGAAGTAAGGCTAGTGAGGTACAGATATTATTAATGTTCTGTATCCTTCATTAGTTCAGTAGCGTCATTCTCTACTAGTATGCTTTGCATGTAAGATTGAAGCTTCTTCTAATTTGCTGTGGTACTGTTTCCTAACAGCTGAGACCATACACCTAAAGAATGTAATCAGAGGATAATTCACTGATCCCTTCACATTGTGTTCTTCAGTAGCCTTAGCCAGTCAGTGACTTTATCTGACCCAATCTTCTGAATATGGAGGTTAGATTTTGGTTATCATCAGGAGACTCTTCTAGTACTGCTAATAGATGGACCCCTTCGTTGCTATATGAAATGACAAAAAAACCCCAGCCTGCACACGTTTTTAACAATATGCCTGTGATAGGTATGTGATCTAGCTAGGCTGGATGCTGTAGTGGTGGAACAGCTTGTTCCTTCTGCATGGGGTTTCATAAGGGACAGAAGTCAATAAAGAGAAAAACGTATCTGAGGGAGCAGACAAGTTCTGCTAGATGTTGGAGAGTGCAGATTTGTTAGCTGGGTGTTACTGTGACTGATTCTGTAGTATTTGGCAGGGCCCAGGATTAAATTTCTAGAAAGTTGGTAAGAAAATGTTTAACAGGGCTACCAGCTTTTTGGAAAGGGCAAATAATCTTTGTATGGATATGGAAAGTAGTTCTGTCAAGTGACATGCAGTTGAAGGAGCAGACCTTTATGGAAGTTAGGTTTCATACAGTTTAATATTTTTCTTAGAGCAATCTATATGCTTTATAATGAGTGTGCTAGAGCAAATATGAAAAAATTACTGTGATGGGATGTCCAGTATGTTGAGAAAATTGAGAGGCCATTATTGTGAAGGGGTTTTTATTCCTTTCTATTATTAATCTGGCTCAAAAAATAATTTTCATAAATAAATTAGTCTTTTGTGGCTTTGCTGGGAGTGGTACTTTTGGAGAGCTTAGAGTATTGAAATACACATAAATACCACTACCCTTTCTCTGTTTTTTTTTCTCCAGCAGATAGGAGGTGGCCCTGAACTAAATTAGGCTTTAAAAGTTCCATATTAAAAGGGCTGCTATTCCTAATTCCTTAGACTTCACCTCCTATTTCTGGTGGCATCTAGGTTCTTTTTAGCTTGTTCTGTGGTTCCCATCTTGGCAAATGGGCTTCAGAATTACTTTTTTTGAACTGGAGTAGAAAGAACTCACAGCTTCTTAAAAATTAAAAAGGAACAAAAAAGGTACAAATGTTTCTCCCTTTATGTATGTCATCTTTAAATCTGCTTTTCAAAAACAGATTTCAGTGAAACTGAGAAGATACATGCTATACATCAATGAAGACATTTTTGACAGGTGAAAGTGCAGACTTACTTACTACAGATAACAGGAATTTAGAAACTGGCAGTTCCTAAGTGGATGTTTCTGTTTTGTTTGCAGAGATACAGAACAAAGCCGTACTGCTGTAGCTTATGCAAGTTCTCGTCAAAATTACTTACTTCATTCAAGAATCACTTGCACCGTTGCCATGAGGATGAAATGGACCAAGAGCTGGTGGTTTCTTGCCCAAAATGTGCATTTGCTTCTGATCCCAAAATAGTGGGAAAGCATATCCGGATGTTTCATTCATCTAATAAAAGAATACAGAACTATACAGTCAGCATTTTGGATGGCATGAAACAATTCAGGACTGACATCATAAACTTCACATGTCTAAAATGTCACTTTACAGACACTTTGTATTACAATATGAAGAAACATGTGTTGATGAACCATTTTCAAAACTTAATAAGTACATATTTTGGCCAGAAACCTGATGAAAGTAAAGAGAATTCTGTTGAGCACTACTGTAAAAAGTGTAATGCTTCTGCAAACAGCCAAGATTCTTTAATGTACCATGTCTTAACAGCCGAAACACACCGAGACCTGGAGAACAAACTTCGGTCTGTGATTTCAGAACATATTAAGAAACCAGGACTTGTGAAACAAGTGCATATTGCTCCAAAGCCTCCCCAGTGCGTGGCAGTTGCTGCTCCATCTGCAGGGCCTGCTGTTGCCCCAGCAGGTTCCATCACCGCTACAGCTTGCATCCAGCTTGCAATTCCACAAAATAATCAAAACCAGAGTGTCGTGCAGCCGAAAGCAGTTCAAAACACAGTCACCTCACTGACTGTTCCAAGTGCCTCTGGTAGCCTTGCCCATGCAACTTCTGCTCCAGTTGTTAACCCGTCTCATGTTACTCTTGTACCTGGTAATCTTCCTGTAGGTCAGAATAATGTTAATATTCAGCCACCTTCCCAGCCTGTTGTTGTTTCCCACAGGCTCCCCCTTAATCAGTCTGTGAGGGTGGGAGCTATTCCTACTGTTGGGACTGGAAATAGAAATGTGGCCCCCACAGTTCTTCCTCTTAATCAACCTGTTGGGCCTGGTCTTTTCCCTATTAATCAATCCATTGGTGCTATAAATGGTCCTGTTTCTCAACCTGTCAGCCCTGTGAACCAGCCGGTTGCACCAGGCATTCTCTCTGTCAACCAAGCATTTGGGGATGTGAATAGACCTATTGGTCCTGGGGTCCTTCCTGTGGCCCAAACACTTGCTTCAGGGGTTCTCCAGCTTAACCAGACTGTTGCCTCTGGGGTGGTTCCTGTCAGACAGCCTCTCCAACCTGGATTTCTTCAGTTTAATCAGCCCATTGGCCCAGCAGTTATCCCTGTAAATCAGCCAGTTCAACCTGCAGTTTCTCAAAACGCAACTTTTTTGACTGCAAGTTCCTTACTTAGGCAACTGATTCCAACTGGTAAGCAGGTTAATGGTATACCCACCTACACGCTTGCCCCAGTTTCAGTTACTTTGCCTGTACCTCCTGGTGGTGGAGTAGCAACTGTTGCACCACCACAAGTGCCCATCCAACTAATGCAGTCTGGGACAGGAACTCAGTTGTCCCAGTCACCGGCCAGTGCCCCCTCTCCTCCAGTGGTTTTAACGGCTCAGAATGTATCCTTGCAAGCCTCCCCACCTGGGCCTGAGACAAGTCAGGCTAACAGAAAGGCTAAGCAGTGGAAGACTTGCCCTGTTTGCAATGAACTTTTCCCATCAAATGTCTACCAGGTGCACATGGAGGTGGCCCACAAACATGGTGAAGTAAAAATGGAGGAAACCCTGGAACCTGACAAGCTTGCAGCTTGTGCGCCATTTTTAAGGTGGATGACAGAAAAGACTGTCCGATGTTCCTCCTGTAAATGTTTTCTCTGTGAGGAAGAGCTTATGAAACATCTCTTGATGCATGGCTTAGCTTGCTTATTTTGCACAGTTACTTTCCATGACTTAAAAACCTTTGTGGAGCACAATAAGTCTACTCACAGTGGGAAAAAGCAGTTACATGCAGATTACAGCAACAGAGGATTTCAACTAGGTAATGATGGTCAGGGTGACCTTGTGTTTCCACACTTTGATTTCAGTACAGTGTTACCAAAAGAAGACATGGGTGAAAGAGAGGTACATTTGGCAGTGCTTGCTGGGCTAAATTCGAGGACGCTTGTCCCTGTTTACATTAAAGTAAAACCTCAGACAGCAGAAGTGAGCAACAGAAGCAACAAAAAAGTGTTAACCTGTCCCTTTTGCTTTGGTACATTCATTAGTAAAGACAGCTACGAAATGCACTTGAAAGAGCGGCATCACATAATGCCGACCGTACATACCATTTTGAAGTCTCCTGCTTTCAAGTGCATCCATTGTTGTGGTGTGTACAGTGGAAATATGACTCTAACAGCTATTGCTGTGCATTTGCTCCGTTGTAGAAGTGCTCCCAAAGATAGCAACTCAAGTGTGAAGATGCAGCTTGAGCGTACCGAGAAGAAAGAGCTCCTGTTTGTGAATGGTGAAAAGCGTGTTTCTGTAATACTGAAAAGAAAGCAATCAGATTCCTGCTTTGTTGCAGAAGACCAAAGGAATAAGGAACAACAGCCTCTGAGCTTAAGTACTAGTCTAGTTCTAGCTCCAGAAAAAGAAGGGATAGTGCCTTTCAAACGACAGAAGATTAATAGTAGGACTGAGATGAGGAAGCTTCCTTCGAGTGAAGATCTTCGCCTTCTAGCAGTAGATCCTAAACGATACGATCACAATTCGTATGAGGCTCAAAAACAGTTTTTGACAGACTACTTTCACGAGAGGCCATATCCTTCTAAAAAAGAGATGGAATTACTTTCCTCACTGCTATATGGGTGGAGAATTGATGTTGCATCATTCTTTGGGAAAAGGAGGAATACATGCTTAAAGGCGATAAATAATCAAAAACCATCTGTGCTGTTGGGTTTCAGTATGTCTGAACTAAAAAATGTTAAGCATGGTTTGAATATAAGAGATGAACCCTTATGTATGTAGGCAAGCTTTTTATAACAGCTAAAAGCAATCTGTAATTGCATACTTACCAGTTTAACTGTTTATTGTATTATTTGTTTTAACTTGCAGACTGGCCTGTTGCAGGGTACAGTAGTACAAAAGTCCCATTCAGTTGTGACTGTTAATGTGAAAGACACATGTAGTTGTGTATTTGAAAAAGCTAAAACCTTCAGACTTGCACATCTGGAATTTGTTGTAGCTTTTTACTTTTTCTGGAGTAGTGGGTTTTTTGTTGTTTTTATGTTTTGTTTTGTTGTTTCTCCCCCTCCCCCCATCCTTCTCCTCCAGGCTCCCATTACACTTTTTATACCACCATGTAAAACATTTGTCCTGTTAAAAACAAATTTTATTTTATTTTTCTGCAATGTTGTCATCTTTTCTAAACAATAAAATGTATAATGTTGTTTAAAATACTGAGGTGAGCTATGTGAAAAACATGGATCTGATTATTTGTATTCTTAAGCCCTATTTTTATTAACCTCTTTTTGTTTTATCTACTGAAGAAGTGATTGTAGCCTTTATATCTGTTGCCCCTTCAAATTCTCAATGCACTGGTAGCAATAAAATACATGGCAATCATTTTTTTTTTTCTCCTCAGTCAAAATACTCATGCCAGTCAAGTCAGGTGATTTCTGGTATTTAACCAGTATAAGCATGGTGGAAATTGATGGGCTTGGGGGTGCCTGTTAAAGTGTTCTAATTAACTGACTTGAAATGGTTGTGGTTTTAGCTGTTAATAGATCTGGCTAACCAGAAGTGTTGGTGTTGAAGCCTGGTTGTTTAAATACTTACTGTTCAAAGATTTGTGACAGCGTTTGGTTTCTTTTTCAGAAAGCAAGACTGCTTTGGAGAGGGTCAGCTGCTTTGATAAGTGGATTTCTGTGCACATCAGTTTATCTGTTGAAGCCCTACTCAATTATCACTGAAGTTTGGTGAAAAATCTGTTTTTTATTTTAAATTACTGTTGCACAAGGTAGTAACTGAGCAGAGCCCCTTCTCCAGCAAATTAGACATGTGGATTGAAGTCCTTTGGGGCAGAAATTGTACAAACTGAAACTGGGTGAATTAGTAACATCAAGAATTTAAGCTGTTGAATACCTGAACCAGTGGTTGCTTTTTATTGTTCTCTAGAGAGCATAAAATTAGTATAAAGCCAAAATAGACTGTCTTGTTTGGTAAGAGCTATCAGAAAAGCTGCTAGGAAAGTTCACTTGGGTTGAAGAACAAGCTATAGTACTGGGGGATACTTTGGGACCTTGTTTATTACTGTCCTTTCTGGGTATGCTTGGTTTCATCTGGCATGTCAGATGGTGCCTCCAATGTTGATTAATCGCCAGTTGATTAATAAATAACCTATAATGCACATCGTTTTTTCTTCCTCTTCATCTCCCTCTCCCCACCCTTCTTTCCCAGAAGAAAAAGAAGAGCAGGCTCTTCTGTCAGTTCCTGTCAGTTCAGTTGTGCCAGCGTTAGAAGGACAGGGTGATAGGCCCAACCAAGCTAATTTCTATTTTTTTAAGTAGTGATCATACCGCTGTCATTTGCAATCGTTTTTAAAGCAGATAAAGAATTATTTTTTGTGCTATTTCTAAAAGGGCATGGCATTTTTAGCAGAATTTGATGACCATCCATCTGAGATTCTATGAGCTATTTGGAATGATATTTTGGATACAATCTTGATATTTTTGTTTTAATAAGTTTGAAGAGTTTTAATAGATATGTAACAGACAGCTAACTTAAATTGGAAGAGTCTGCTATTTGGAAGAAACTAGTTATATAACAGTAGTATTGAACAAACATAAGCACAATTTGTGAGATTATCTGTGCTTTCCACCCCAAACAATGACTAAGAAGTGGTGTGTTTTTCTAGCCTAATAGCTTATTAAAACAACAATAGAATATATGTATATTTGGCCATAGCACAGATCATTAACCAGTTTGAAAGGGTCTGTTTGAGGAAGAGGGATGGCTCTATAGAAGTTCTAAAATCTAGGCACTCACTCATTTTCACTCTTAAACCTTGATACTGTGAACCCTGTCAGCTTTGGCATTGTTCTGGTATTGTTGAAACTCCAGCAGGGAGGAGTTTGGCAGCATGCATGGTTAAATATTGTTCTTGAGGCAACAGCATGGCTTGGAGTGGGGAGCTGGGAAGCCATTTTAGGTTCATCTGCACTTTGGTCATCAAGGGAACAGTTCAATCTTCTCCGAATTTTCCTGCTTGGCATTTAGTGGTTGTGTTAAGCATTTTATTTATTGGACTTCGGTTTCACACGTTCAAATAAACCAGCTAACTGTCCTAACTATCTCTTAGGTGTGTGTGCACATGATTACCTACCTCCCCTCTCCTTTATAATATATTCAGGGAACTTGATGTGAAAGCTTCTTTTTGCTGTAAAACATCTGTTAAAAGACACAGAAGGACCTGGAACTTGGATCCAAACACTTTAGGTAGACTGTAGCTCGTTATAGGAGTATCTTTATCTCAAATACTGACAGCTGCATATTTTCCTGGAGACTGATGTTCTTAAATCTTGGTTCTAATTTGCTATCGCTAAATGCTCTTGCTCTCATTAAATGAGGTTTGTAGAAACAACAGATTAATTATGAAATGTGAAAGTACTGACTGAAACACAGTGTGGTCACAGTTTTCAGAAAAGCCAGGGAGCTTGAGAACAGCCAAATTAAATCAATGGCTTTCATTGCTTCTGAAATTTATTGGTCTGGAGAAGTCTGTGTACAAGAAATATTTTATTGTGCCTCAAGTTTCTGAGCGTAAAAGTTGTGCTTGTGAAATAATGTAACAGTATTTGAATTTGTAGGAAGGATTATAATGTAACTTGGATGTGTTTCTTCATGTGCTGCGAGTTAATATTGTTTGGTAAGGTGACATTTTGGAAGGGGACAAAACCCAAAACACTCTTGTGATTGGTCTTCAGTACTGTATTCTTGTATATAATGCTACTGTTCATCATTGCATCAAGCTGCTTCCCTTCACTGTTTTTAAGTTGCTAGGGAAGCTTAGGGGTTTACTTAAGTAGCTGTTAAATATAATTTTGAGTGTGCAGTTCCCAGTAATTACCTCTGTAGAGCTAAAATTCTAATGCAGGTGGCTGTGTCAGTTTCAGAATACATCTGTCAAACATGCAGGCATGTTTTTCTAGGCAAGATAATTGGTGCTAGGTAGCAAAGTACAGATACATGGACAAAAAAACCACTCCAGTCTAATACCAAGGGACCAAGGGGGGGTGGGGGGGGTGTAGAAAGACACACTTAAGAAAATGTGCAGGGCTTATATTAGAGGTCAGAAGAATTTTCCCTGTTTCCTCTGAAAAATGTATATGAAAAGGAAAAATGTAGGGTATTTGTGAACAAGGCAGAACTTTGTCATTCTGCATTTAAAGTATGACCTGACCCTGTTTAGTGCCTGTATACCTCATTTCTTGTTTCATCTGTTCTGAATTGACAGGCAAGCTGAAGTTGGACCATTTCTCTTTTACCTAGGGATCAGGTTCCAAATGATGAATGACATAGTTCTTTTTGCTTGGAGTGTGAGTGAGTTTAACATACTAAGTTAAAGAAGGCATACTATTTTATTAACACAGTGTTCTACGTGGTAGTATGTTGAAGAGCACATTATAACAAAATCAGGGGAAGATGCCTCAAGTATGAGACAGGCAGTTGTGAAGTAAGATATCTGTGGTTTTAGGTAACTCACATGTGCTCAGCATGGCATAGTGCATAGATGTCTACAGAATGAAGGGGCTACAAGGTGAGATTTGGGTTGTGGCAGTCTTCCAGGCCTGATAGCTGTAGTGTGTGCTGCTCACTCATTCTCAGCTGGCCTCTATATAACTGGTGTTAAAGCAGCTGTTGTATGAATAACAAGAAGAATGCAATTGTGGATGGATGGAAAAATGCCAAGACATCAACTCATGCTCAGCCAAGTAGTATTAATAAGCAAGGAGCAGAAGAGAGATTACAGAGAAGCACTGTAGATTTGTTTTTTGCAGAAAAATAGTGAAAGGGGTTATAAGCTCCTCTGTCAGTTTCCATTCTCCACTGGGAGATGTGGAAGACTGTCTCTTGTGGACTGGGCTTGCTAGCTGTACTGTCATGCACGTGTTCTGCCGGCAGCGTCGCTTTTTAGAGAAGGTGATGCAGAATGAATAGCTGCGTCCATTAACCAAACTTATTAATGGAAGAAAAGCTGACAGGCAACATTGGTCTACAGAAGAGCTTGAGGGATGGGTCTTAATACAACCTCACAATTTATAAACATATACATAAAGGTTAGCCAACATTGATTCACCTGCTTGGCTGCTGCTACTCAAGGCCAATGGTGATCTAGGCACTAGCAGAATTTGATGTGACCACGTGTGCATTCAGCATGGGAACACACAAAACAGCACTGGGGTCATGATGACAATCAGAAGCAATGGGGTTGGGCAGAAAGCTGGCGTTGGGATGAACAGGAGCACTCTAGCTGAAGGTGTAAGGTGGCTGCACCTGGTAGAAAGGTAGTGGCCACCCACCCAGGCTTGGGACCTGGCTTCCCAGCTTCTGGTGCATGAGGGATATTGGCAGCAGCTCTGGTGGAGGTGCGAGCCCTTCCTCCTGGTGTGGGCAAGCAATAGCCTCTCCTGCTGACTGCACTTGCTCCATCTTTGGAGGGTTGCTGTGGGGCTGAGTGGTGGTGCCACCTGTTCCTTGCCAGGCCTTGAGACCATGCTCTCTGCATTTTAGGTGCTGGTAACACACCTGGGAATCTGCAGAGGATGTCTGAATCCAAGTGCCAGAAAATAATGAGAGGAACGTCCTCAGCATGGTGCAGTGCACTGGTATTCAGAGGATGAAAAGGCTGTGGTGAGATTTGGGTTGTGGGAGTCTTCCTAGTGTGAGCTGGTAGCAAGAGTAGCACTGTGCCAGGCAGAAGCGATTACCCACGTATTCCTACAAAAAGATTTAGCCCGATGACAGTC